CCATCGTTTAAGCCCATCCAGCATCTTCTCTCTTGGTCTGCCTCTGTCCCTTTTCCAGTCACGTTTCCAGTTGTCACGATGTTCTCCAATTTCTCTCTTCTCATTATGTGGACAAATAACAGTGTTTGTCTCTTTCTTATTGTTGTATATAGCGACCTACTTTCATTAGACTCTTTCAAGCAATCGTTGTTAGTTACTCTGGCCGTCCAATGTATTCGTAACATTCGTTTCAGAAACCATATCTCTGGTGCTTCCAAATTCTTCTTAATTTTTTCAGTGACATTCCAAGATTCGCTTCCATACAGCAGAATAGATTCTATCTAACAATTTAGGACCCTCCTTCTGACATTAAATGAGAGCGAATTGTTGCATATGATATTTTTCATTTTCTGAAATGCAGCTTTCGCTTGACCTATTCTGCTTTCAATCTCTGTCACACATTTTCCATCTATTTGATTGTTCCTAGGGACTTGGGACTGAAAAAGTTAATTCTCCAGCCCGATTTGCTTTCATAGTCAATGCATATACATTGTCTTGTATCATTCTTCAAGGAGGTGGTTTCTAACATGGCCAAAATACCAAATCTTTCGGAACTGGATGATGTCTATTAACCAATTATCGTCGATGTTCATATCGTATAGGTAGTAGATACTGATTTTGTGTTTCTTGGTCCATGGTATTCTAAGAATGTTTCTTTTTTCAATTTCAGTTCATAAGCTCTATGTCTCACATCCATTAGTTACCCGTGTGGGTTCTGGGGCCCTGTTATAGAAAAAACAAGAATAGACCCACTGCCCACCCAAAAGCATGTCGTAAGAGTCGACTAATTGGGAGCTTCCTTCGAAGTTGGAGTGCATCTGCCTGAGAGGCAAGGAACCAGCAGTCTGCATGCCAATGAGTCAGACCTGTAAAACGGATACACACGCAACACTCAGGTTCTGGAACAGGACTGCAGTCCAGAAGTGGACGAACAACCAGAACTTTCAGCCGGAGTGTACAGCTGGTGAAGGCGTAGAAGAAGAAGACATCCATTAGTTGCCCAAGGAAAGATAGATAGTCTCAAAAATGATAAGTGTACGTGGTTGACAGCCGCTAAACTGTATCAAGGCTTGATCCATGTCATTCAGCTTCAGGCATTTATGTTAATGTGTCTGATAACACTAACAGCTTGGTGAAGTCGTTTAAATGATGAAAATGTGTTGAAATTCCTCTGTTTGGTGCATACTTTTCCTGTTTTCAGTGTATGTGTGCGGGCGCGAGTCCGCCTGAGTGTTATGTGTGTGTGTGAGTGTTATGTGTGTAGAGAGAGAAAGTAAAAGAAAGAGAGAGGGGGAGAGAGGAAGAGAGATTAAACGTGTTAAGAACAGAAGTAAACTTACGAGAGTAGCACATGCCGAACAAACCTCGTAGTGTGAAAAGTGACCCTATACTTATGTAAATAAACTTATCTCAGTAAGACAACAAGATCTTTCCGGCTTTAGCTCATCACTGAAGAAGAATAGTTACTAAGCAAAGTTTCTGTCGAAGACTAATGCACAAAATGCTGGCCAGCTTGGGATCACCAAATTAAAGAATATCCATTTTAGAAATGATTCGTAGTACACGAGACAGATCATGGTGAACAAACATAATGATTACAGCCACATGACATAAACTGTCAAGACGTCATCCTTTTGAAGATGTGAAAACATACACAGTTAAGATGAGTTGAGGCGCAAAGATGTGAAAACATACACAGATAAGATGAGTTGAGGCGCAAAGATGTGAAAACATACACAGTTAAGATGAGTTGAGGCGCAAAGATGTGAAAACATACACAGATAAGATGAGTTGAGGGGCAAAGATGTGAAAACATACACAGATAAGATGAGTTGAGGAGCAAAGATGTGAAAACATACACAGATAAGATCAGTTGAGGAGCAAAGATGTGAAAACATACACAGATAAGATGAGTTGATGAGAAAAGATGTGAAAACATACACAGATAAGAAGCGTTGAGGGGCAAAGATGTGAAAACATACACAGATAAGATGAGTTGAGGGGCAAAAATGTGAAAACATACACAGATAAGATGAGTTGAGGGGCAAAGATGTGAAAACATACACAGATAAGATGAGTTGAGGGGCAAAAATGTGAAAACATACACAGATAAGATGAGTTGAGGGGCAAAGATGTGAAAACATACACAGATAAGATGAGTTGAGGGGCAAAAGATGTGAAAACATACACAGATAAGATGAGTTGAGGGGCAAAGATGTGAAAACATACACAGATAAGATGAGTTGAGGGGCAAAGATGTGAAAACATACACAGATAAGATGAGTTGAGGGGCAAAGATGTGAAAACATACACAGATAAGATGAGTTGAGGGGCAAAGATGTGAAAACATACACAGATAAGATGAGTTGAGGGGCAAAGATGTGAAAACATACACAGATAAGATGAGTTGAGGGGCAAAGAGGTGAAAACATAACAGATAGTAGATGAGTTGAGGGGCAAAGATGTGAAAACATACACAGATAAGATGAGTTGAGGAGCAAAGATGTGAAAACATACACAGATAAGATCAGTTGAGGAGCAAAGATGTGAAAACATACACAGATAAGAAGCGTTGAGGAGCAAAGATGTGAAAACATACACAGATAAGATGAGTTGAGGGGCAAAGATAAGATGAGTTGAGGGGCAAAGATGTGAGATGAACAATGAGTTGAGGAGGGGGCAAAGATGTGAAAAAACATACACAGATAAGATGAGTTGAGGAGCAAAGATGTGAAAACATACACAGATAAGATGAGTTGAGGGGCAAAGATGTGAAAACATACACAGATAAGATGAGTCGAGGAGCAAAGTGTACAGAACAATCTACTAAACTGAATCTGCAATGAGCACACAGAATACATTTATATTTATTTCTGACGCTTGTTTTTTTAAAAAAAAAGACCTTTTTAGAGCTATTGTGTGTAGTGGGCATATAGAGCTAGACCAACCAGCACACGTTAGGTGATGAGGAGTACATGACACCGGTGGCCTTTACTTCCCATGTCCTTACCGGGTACCCATTTTAGGCTGTGTCCACATAGGAGTCAAGGTAATTTTTTTTTTTTTAAATCTTGCTCGATGCAAATTTGAACTCCCTCTGACACTTAACCAGAGATAAAAAGCTCATCAGCCAATTCTAACCGTTTATATTTTACTTTCCTACTCAACGTAGAGCACTTACTTTTATTGACGTTAGCTTTTTCCTGTTCAAATTCGATCTTCATTTCATCCATCTCCTCTTCAACGTCGGTAGTACCTCTCATTTTGACTAGGACATTCCTGGCCCGCTGTTCTAGCCCTTTCTTCATTAGCCATCTCGGGCTTTCCGGTAGAAAGATGAAGCCTATCAATTGAACAACGGAGGGGACTGCAGCCAGTCCGAGCATGTACCTGAAGACATTGATAAGCGGCCTAATTGTGTTCTGTGATGTTTAAATAATTACGAATAGACAATGAAATCTGTACTCCTAGGTCGACTCTAAAATGAGTACAATTTCGGAAAAGTTAAGATGGCCGGGGTGATATTGACCATATTCATTAGCATCAACATCGTGATTTTCTTCTTCTTTTCTTTTTAGTTCTTCTTCTTCTTCTTCTTCTTCTTCTTCTTCTTTTCTTCTTCTTGCTTCTTCTTCTTCTTCTTCTTCTTCTTCTTCTTCTTCTTCTTCATTGTCTTCTTCGTCTTCTTTTTTGTTCTTTTTCTTCTTCTTCTTCTTCTTCTTCATTGTCTTCTTCGTCTTCTTTTTTGTTCTTTTTGTTCTTTTTCTCCTTCAAATTCTTTTTCTTCTTCTGCTTCTGCTTCTTCTTCTTCTTCTTCATCTTTCTTCTTCTTCTTATTCTTCTTCTTCTTCTTCTTCTTCTTCTTCTTCTTCTTCCTCTTTTTCGTCGTCGTCATCGTCGTCATCGTCGTCTTCTTCTACCATTACAACTGCTCGATCGTCTTATTCTTTTTCTTGGCTTTCTTTTTACTCCTGCTACTCTTCATCTTACTTGTCATTTGACATTTCTAATCAATTAAAAAACTTGCATAGTGCGTATCAAATATGGACCCTTTCCCCGCTTTCGGGGGGTATTGGGCATATAGGGCTAGCCCTATATTGTATAGACAAATCTCGGCACTTGGTGGGTGATGTTGTGGTCACCGTTACCACTGGTCGCCTTTACTTTCCATGACTCTACCTGATATCCATTCAAGACTGGGTCAACCTGGGAGCCTAGGTTTTTTTTTTTAATCTAATATACTCAGGATCCGAACCCACGACCTTCCGATCCGCATGCGAGCGTCTAACCGCTACACCAGGCCGACTACCATGTTAAATAGTGAGTGGTAATTTATTCGTACATAATACAGCAGTCGGCTGTTCAACACTAGACAAACACTGTCTCTAGTCACGATAACACAAGATCGTGCTTACTACCTCCATCCATTGTGTTCCATGTAACTGAAGGCTCCGTCCACAAGGCTAGCCACCAGCTGACCTCCCGTTATGAACATGTTGTTTATTGTTACTAGGCGACCACGCAGATGAAAGGGGGCGCTTTCGGCAATGTAAACAGGTACTGTCATTGATGCAAAACCTGTCACAGGAAGAGAGGAATAATTCATATGAACATTTCTTGAAATTCGTCTATATTACTTTCATTCCTTCCTTCACTTTCCTATTTCAGTGTTGAGGGAGATACAATCAAGGCTTTTTTCCCCCTGGTGGTACGCGACGGTATGCAGTACTGGTACAATTTTATTGGCATCATTTTCTTTTCAGGCGAGAAAATGACACTTTGTGATCACTGAAACTTTTTTATAGACACTTTCTGGTGAGTACCGGCACCTTTTTTAGTATGAAAAATACGTTATGAATGATACAGTGTTTATGGTTCTTGATCTACTGAACATCTTGGTCACACACACACACACACACACACACACACACACACACACACACATATATATATATATATATATATACATATATGTGTGTGTGTGTTTTCCTATTTATTTCCTTTTAAAAAAGTAAATAACCCTATCCACGCCATCAGGCGTATGGGGCATATAGGGCTAGACCAATCGGCACTCAGTCGGTGATGTCAACATCTTTCCAGTCGCCCTTACTTCCCATGAATTTACTTGGTACCCATTTAAAGCTGAGTCAACCAGGGAGCCTAGGTCGTTTTTTGAGAGAAAACAAATTATCGCATTACCCATTTCTGTTTCATTAATTGTTTATTCTATCTGCTACATCCCCGGTTTTCCTTTAATTGGAATTTCAAATTCTGTTGAACAAAACATTTATTGGTTTTGTTTGAAACTCTTCTTAGGACAATTTGAGTAGCCGGGCCTAGCTCAACAATGTTTACCCATATAATTCAGCATCGAAATGACTCTTGAGACACAAATCAGAAATCAAGCCAACTGGAACGGTCCTGCTGTTTTGCTAGTAAGTCGTTAGTGAGTCGTTCCATTTGAGAATTAATGGCTACAGACTCGAACCTACAACTTTTCAATTTCCTTATTGTCTAGTGTACTAATCACTTTTTGTTCCATTAATTGCAATGAATACTGAACATCACCTGAGAATTAATTTATGGTGTTAAAAACTGATTTGGGGCGGCTGTTAAATAGTAGCACTTACAGGAAATAGCAGCGGTAATATCCTTCATTATAATCATTATCATTTTCTTCTTTTTCTTCTTCTTCCTCTTCTTCTTCTTCTTTTCTTCTTCTTCTTCTTCTTCTTCTTCTTCTTCTTCTGCTGCTGCTGCTGCTGCTTGTGCTTCTTCTTTGCGTTCTCTTGGAGTATACTTAATACACAGCTGGTTACAAAGGGACACTATTGGTTTAATTTAAAGGCTCGCTGTCCTTGTTTGCAAATTGCCTACCCTTCTGATCTGACATATTTTGCTAAAAGTAAATTGTTTCTGAGCTTGTTGGTCTAAATAAATATGCATCTAGCCCTATACGCCTGGTGTGCCAAAGACAGGAAAAGAATCGGTTACTTACTTATTGACTTACTTATTTGCTTATATTCTGAGAAGTTAACAACACATCTTGCTTTTCTATCTTTTCTCTGTAATCTGCTATGTGCCACAAAACATCACAGGTTAACATTTGATCGGTATCCGAGCTAGGGCACCCTCGGTTGCCCAGTAAGCCGTGTTGGTGAGGAGTCTTGGGGTATCAATGACTCCTTCAATCGATATTCTTCTTGGTCATCCACTACGTCTTCGTGTTTCTTCTTGCATGTTGTAGGCTGTCGTTGATTGCATCATTGGATTCATTCTCATTAAATGGCTAACTGTTTAAACACACAAAACTTGCCACGATTGTCATTTTCTTTCTACCTATCAAGTCATTCAGGAACCCTCCCACTAGAGCTGCCAGAAAGGCGCCGCCTATGGTAATACTGACTATAAGCTCTTGCCAGAGTGACGACAGACCGAATTCCTTTTTTATCAGAAGCATTGCCCCAGACACTACTCCAGTGTCGTAGCCAAACAGAAAACCCCCAATGGCAGCAAAGAAAGCCAATGTCCATACATAAACGGTACTTTCAGAATTGGATTCTTTTGTTGAAGGTGTGTGTCCGCTATATCCTGGATAATTGGTGTTGATGTGTGTTTGTGGTCCATTTGATTGGTAGCTAATCGCTTTACTCTTATCCGTCATCCTTTTTTGATCACCATTGGCTGAGATGTTTCCTGAATTGATCTGCACTTTTTCCGTAGCATCGAACATGTCTGTAAATTTGTGAGTAGCGAGGCTTAATGAATGTCAATGTACGTTTATTGTTGACTCGCTGGTTCCCAGTTGTTGTTTTCCTGCGGTTAGGTCTGTCAATATTTATGCTGTGACGGTTTTGAAATAATCCATCCGGGTGCTCATTTTATGGTCAGAACTTATACCGTCTCTTGATTTCTGTTCAGTTCAAGAAAAACAAGATAAATATGTTTGTGAAATTGAACAAGAATATAAAGACTCATCTTTTATGGGGGGGGGGGGGGGGCTAATATGGAGATTCCATCAAATTAAGATGTGATAAAAAAGGCGCTGGTGCAGAATAGGATACACACTGCAAAAGCCTGAAAATAGTATAACTGAAAACAATGACAGCAGACCTGAAAACAAATGAAGTGAAGGGGTCGGGTGCGATGTTGACCACATCATCCACCAAGTGTCGACTGGTTTATAAAATAATGATTCCAAAACTGTGTGCCGCGGCTCCCAGTGGAGCCGCGACCTCTTCACGGGGGCGCCAAAAAATATTTGAAGATACACGTTGGAAAAAGGGGCCGCGAGTAAGAAAAGTTATGGAAACTGCTATAAAATATAGTTCTAGCGCTATACGCCCAATACCACTAAAGCCGTGGTACAAGTCCTTTACTTTACTTTGCTTGTATGTACCACTGTTTAGTCTTAATTTCAGTCGGGGTTTCAATTTTACTGCAGTACATCTCCCCCCCCCCCACCCCCAATCCTTCTGTTCCTGTGCCAGTGATAATCAAATATGTTTCTCATGGTCCCATTTGAAAAACTGGTGAACAAACAATTAGTCCTGGCATAATCCAAAAATATGCGCACGCAGTAAATGTTCATGGCAGTTACTAGGGACGCCAAAGCCAACAGTCGCCACCAGAACTGCAGTTTGTCGTTAATAGAAGTTGCTGGACACGATTTTTGTTTTGGCTATACACACGTAAAATTTTTAAGGTAGGAATACACCAGCCAATACGTAAATAGGCCACCGACTGAATACCACAACTCAATCACTGAACAACTGAAAGGCATTCCATGTGAAAAACACAGCTCAACGTGCTGCAATAAGCATTAAACTAAGACGCTCAGGCAGCGAAACCGTAGACTTCCGTCCACACGCGGAAACTGCATTAACAAAGCGCTGTGCCTAGTCATCCATATTAGACCGTACTTGATGTTTGGGTCGGTGTAGGACGGGATGTCTTAAGCCTAGGGATTTAGGGTCGTAAGGCTAGTGCGGTTCCTCTAAACTGTGCATATTATGAAGTTTATTTTTGCCACCGACAGTGTGAAAAATACAAAATACCGAGGTTTCGAAGCCGAGTCTCCCTGTGACAGGTACAGGACGTTGCAGAACCAACCCCAGCATTTTTATTTGGGGGGGGGGGGGGGGTGTTTGTGATTACATTAGGCAGTTTTGCGTTCATTGTGCCCCACTGTCGGCTCTATGTACCGCTGTCAAAACCTGCCAAATCATCCGCAGGTAGGATAGGACCCGGCACTTTGGAATTGAGAAGTACATTCGAAAAGCCTAAACCCCAGACCTCAACTAATCTGCCATTGATAGTTAATCTGTTGATAATATGAAGATAGCAAATGTATCCGCAGGATATATAGCTTGGTGAGCAGATAGTGATCCCTGATATCAATAAATGAGACAACACTGGCAGGTGTCTGTCTGTCTGTCTGTCTGTCTGTCTGTCTGTCTGTCTGTCTGTCTGTCTGTCTGTCTGTCTGTCTGTCTGTCTGTCTGTCTGTCTGTCTGTCTGTCTGTCTGTCTGTCTGTCTGTCTGTCTGTCTGTCTGTCTGTCTGTCTGTCTGTCTGTCTGTCTGTCTGTCTGTCTGTCTGTCTGTTTGTCTGTCTGTGTCTGTATGTATGTATGTATGTATGTGCGTGCGTGTGTGTGTGTGTGTGTGTGTGTGTGTGTGTGTGTGTGTGTGTAATCTAAGCTGCACAATCACATAGGAAAACGTGGTAGCGCGGAAGTTAGAACCGTACATGCTGCTATATAGGCAATTTATTTTTTTAGAATCCCACAGAACGCCTAACATCATCATCATCAACCTGAACTGGCGAAGTTCAAGCGCTGCCTAGGGAGCTAACCCCTCCTAGATAACATTAGGTATAATTTTGGCTCTTGTTCGTGCTTCAGGCTCTTGTTTCATTGTGCGTTTCTTAGTTTTGTAGCTTACAAGTCTTTCGAACTATGTTTTCTGCTTGTTGTTTGTAGGGCCGTCATCTTAGTGCTGACTGGTTAGTTTAGTGCTCTTTATGTTACCGGCTTATATATCTCTGCTACTTGTTGTTGTCCTCTGTTTCATTTTCATAATGTATCTGTCATTGTGGTCGCCCTGTTAAAGTAAGTCATGTAGTTTGTTCCATCATGTGAAATGTCGGTAGTTTCCACTACACGGCATTTACGAGAAGGATCTCAGTTGTTGTCTTGATTTTGTTTACAAATAGAAATTACTTTAAAAAAAAATGATACGAGGCACCTTTATTCAAGCGCATTTCCTATTTTTATTTTTTCATTAAACCAATACAAACATTGTTAGGTTAGTTCGACGAAAGTCTCCCCATTTACTCACTCTTACACACTAGCTCACTTCTGATTGGTCGACCTTCAACCAAGCTCGCTTTCGATTGGTCGATCTTGAGCTACCCAAACTTTCCACACGGTGACGGGGGTGTTCCCCAATGACGTTGATATCGGATGTTCTATATTTCAGCATGCCAGCGCTTTTAACACTCCCAAAACATCGACAAACTGGGTCTAACACAGAACCCCTTCAAAGAGTGATGAAAACTATGTCACATGCATTATCTTTCTCTTAATAAAAACGTAAATGCAAGAAATCCCGTTGGCTCTGTGGCTAAGTCGATGCGAACACTTCGCTTCGTAATGCCAGGTTCGATCCCAGCTGCGGGCAATGCGCCTTGCGTTGGTTTCGACAGTGGTATCAAGAATGCCGACCGTCCAGAAGCAATGGCAAACTACTGGACGTAAATTTGCCTAGAGAAACCACACAACAGCCAGGGGCTGTTAGGGTTGGTTCTGCAACGTCCTGTAGAGGATACGCAACAACCTAGAGCGGCACTTCTGTTACGTCCAGTAAAGTAGACCGATCCAACAAAGTTATCAATGAAACGTGACCTACTTTCTCTGGGTAGACTAATGTCGAACTAAATCATTGTTTTAACAAGTCGATTAAGTTCAAAACTGCGTCTAGTACAAAAGTAAATGACCCCTTTTACACTATTGGCGTATAGGGTATATTATGCTATACCCATTTTCTATTTTAATCGTAAACTTACCGTGACAAAATTGACAATATTTAACAATCACAATAGAACCAGTTATAAAAGTAAATACTTGCATGTATCTATTATGCACGGTGAATGCAGAATTCGTTTCCTAGAAGATTTGTGTGTTTCTCATTTGCTAATTATTGTTATCTACACACTATAGATTTAATAGAATACTGTTTGGGCTGCATGCTTTACAGTGAAGTCCAGACTTCGGGAGTCCCTGTTTCTTATATGAGAGATTAGATTGGGTTAATCAGGTCAGAGTTCAAGTTTTGTACAGTTATGTACAACATTATCGCATGTAATGAAATACTCAAATGCAGTGGCGAAACAAGGTCAGGTGGTATCCGGGGCTGAAAATTTCCTCTCACCCCTTTGGCGTAGCAAGGTGAGGTGGTGCTCGGTGCGGAAAATATTCTATCACTCCCAGTGGCGTAGAAAGGTCAAGTTGTATCGGGTGCTGGAAATGTCCTATTACCCCGTGGCGTAGCAAGATCAGATGGTATGCCCTGTCACCACAGTGGCGTAGCAAGGTCAGGTGGTACACGGTGCGGAAAAATTCATGTTACCCCAGTGGCGTAGCAAGGTGAGGTGGTGTTCAGTGCGGAAAATATTTTATCACTCCCAGTGGCGTAGAAAGGTCAAGTTGTAACGGGTGCTGGAAATGTCCTATTACCCCGTGGTGTAGCAAGATCAGATGGTATGCCATGTCACCACAGTGGCGTAGCAAGGTCAAGTGGTACCCGGTGCTGAAATTGTCTATCACCTCTAGTGGCATAGCAAGGTCACGTGGTAACCAGTGCGGGCATTTTCATGTCACCCCCAGTGGCATTGCAAGGTCAGGCGGTACCCGGTGCGGACAATTTCTTGTCACCTCTTACACTCTCTCTCCCTCTCATCTTGCTCTCTCTCTCTCTCTCTCTTGCGCTCTCTCTCTTGCTATCTCTCTCTTGCTCTCTGTCTCTCTCCATTGTTCTCTCTCTCTTGCTCTCTCTCTTGATCTCTCTCTTGCTCTCTCCCTCTCTCGTGTTCTCTCTCTTGCTCTCTCTCTCTCTCTTGCTCTTTCTCTCTCTTGCTCTCTGTCTCTCTCCATTGTTCTCTCTCTCTTGCTCTCTCTCTTGATCTCTCTCTTGCTCTCTCCCTCTCTCGTGTTCTCTCTCTTGCTCTCTCTCTCTCTCTCTTGCTCTTTCTCTCTTTTGCTCTCTCTCTCTTGTTGCTCTCTCTCTCCCTTGCCCCCTCTCTCTCTCTCTTGCTCTCTATCTCTTGCTCTCTATCTGTTGCTCTCTATCTCTTGCTCTCTCTCTCTCTCTCTCTCTCTCTCTCTCTCTGTCTGTCTTTCTCTCTCGAGCATGCCTATGTTTTAAAAACGCATTTTTTTTTTGCCATTTTGCCACCCCAATCAGTAATGACACGCGATGCGGTCCGAACCCCCTCCCCCTTAACTGCACGCCCTCACTACACCTTCGCTCAAATGGTAGAGGTCTCAGTTGTGACATAGTCAGAACTTTTGCCTCGCAATTAAAAGATCATTGTCAGTTGTTTTGGTCATTTAGAGTTACAAATTGTCTTCTCGCTCCCTGGAGATTGTCGCCACCGCTACTGTGTCCATGTTGCATATTAAGAAACCGAAACCGTAAAATCTCCCGTCCATGAAGTAGACTTTCTCATCTCA